GAAGAGAAGAGAAGAGAAGAGAAGAGAAGAGAAGAGAAGAGAAGAGAAGAGAAGAGAAGAGAAGAGAAGAGAAGAGAAGAGAAGAGAAGAGAAGAGAGAAGAGAAAAGAGAAGAGAAGAGAAGAGAAGAGAAGAGAAGAGAAGAGAAGAGAAGAGAGAAGAGAAGAGAAGAGAAGAGAAGAGAAGAGAGAAGAGAAAAAGCATGAAACAAAAGGAAAAAAAAGAAAAAAAACAAAAGGAGAAAGGAAAAGAAAAAGCAAAAGGACGAAGCAAAAGGAAAAGGACTAAAACCTGCCAGGGATTGGTTGCTACAACCTATATAAATGCCCTGTTCCTTTCCTGTGAAGGAAAATGTTCCTTTACTGGCCCACAGAGTTTTGCCTCGGTAAACACCAAAAATCACTGCACACAACAATACTCTTGTCTCAGTCAGCAGCTCTACACCCTGCTCCTCAGGTATTGCCTTTCTGTCCCCTTGGCAGGACACATATCTCTCCTTGCAGCCTATTTCTGAAAAGTCACTGCACACGAATGAAATTTCACCTCACGCTGGGGTGTCACAAGAATATTGTTGGCATTTCTTATCCTGAAGTCATGCACGCTGGCTAGTGAAAATTCCTTCCCTAGCTTTCTGTTTGTTTGTCTTGGGTTTCTTCACTTTTTCTGCGAACTGAAACATGCTTTCTTGGCTGCAGCAGTTGTGCTTAGCTGACAAGAGATGATGCTGAACTAAGTCCCTGATCAGAGCTCTGGCTTCAGCTCCACACTTTTCCCACAGTTGGCTGCTGTCTTGGTTGGGGCTGACTCCTTCCTGATGGCCTGGCCCCAAAGTCTTGCCCTTTGAGGATCTGGAAGTGTCAGCCTGAGCTTCCTGGGGTTTGACAAAGACAATAGGCTGGTACCCCCAAGGCAGATACAAGATCTGTGTCTACAGTTATTTCACAATCCAAGATGGGGAAAACTGTCCTTTTGAAGATGGCCCAGGGAAGAATTGTTGTCTTTTGTGTCCCTAGGTACCCAAGAGCAAATAGTGTCAGCTGTACAGCTCCTGGAAAAGATCTCTAGCATTCCTCTCACCCCTCTGGGCTTTCTGGCCATGTCATAGCACAGGAAAACAAGCAGCTGAGGAAGGAAGGACAGCTGTGAGCACCATCACAGCAAGGCCTGTGTCTTTCCTTACTTCAGCTGCACTAGCAGGAACAGGAAGGGTTAACAGGCTTTGATTCAATGAATGGAGGACAAAGGAGGCAACAGGAATAGGAGAGATCTGGTGGAGCTGACAGTATCCTGCTCTATTCCTGGGAAGTAGCAACAACACACATCTCCTGTCTTGGATTGAAATACAGGATAGCACCAGCGGCCAGATGAGGAGTAGAGCTTAGTGGGCAGTGGGTTTACACATGGATGCTAGATCCAGGCTACTGTCAAGGTGGGGAGAGGTTCTTTGCTATAATGTTATTGAGGAAAATATTTAATGTGCAGTGTGGGAAGGGTGGGACTGGTCAATCAGTGACCACTGCTTTGGAGGTGGTACTACCATCCCTCTGTCCTGCACAGACACCCTCAGACACTGCAGGTGACACACACACACACACAAACACACACACATGCACACACAAACATATATATGTACAGGTGAAGGATTAGGACTTGCTGAGGCTAAAAAAACAGAAAAAAAAAAAAAAAAGCCACTTGAAAATATTCTTTCAGACCGAAGCGATGTGGTGATCCTGTCTGCCTAACTTGGGTCTGTATTTCAAGGACCAAATGAAGCTGCTCTTCTAAAGCAGGGGTCTGCATAAGCTACATAGTCTGTGGACAGGAGAAGACACTTTGATAGTCTCTAGGGACATGCCCAAAGTCTTGCTCCATTGAGCAAACCATAGCCAAATAAACCTGGTAAATGTCCAACTTTTTCTTTTGGGAGCAGCAAGTGCCTAACATCCTGGGACTGCTCTCCTGCAACACTGGAGAGAAATGAGAGATTGGAGTCCTAATGATCGAATTCAAGATGCAGACATCCTCAGCTGAACAGATCACTCTAGAACAGCATTAGTGGAGACACACAGGGATTTTAGGTCCCAATTCACTCATGCTTAGGAACTGTTTCAGATAAGCCTGAGTCATGGGCAAAAGGAACCAGTATCTCTTTCATGGTTATAATGAGGACCTTGACTGACTTGCTGTGAAGGGAATAGTTGCTGTCCTGGTCTATACCATCAGGAGAAATGAATCTCAGTTAAAGCCTTGGTTAGACAAACATAAATCTAGTCATGTCCTTGCAACCTGTGCTGTCAGCACAGTTGTCCTATTGCTACAAACACCTCTGTCGCAGTGAAGATTTTAGCAGCAGTTTCTGGCTGGACTGTGAAGGTAAGCTCTGCATTTTGGGAGATGGGAGGCACTCATAGTGTGGTACAGGGTTCTGAGGGAGCTGGCAGAGGTGCTCACTAAGCAACTCCATCATTTATCAGCAGTCTTGTTAACCAGAGGAGTCCCAGTTGATGTAGGTTAGCCAGTGCCATGCCCATCCAAAAGAAGGGCTGGAAGGAGGACCTGGGGAGCTACAGGGCTGCCAGCCTGACCTCAGTGCTGGGGGAGCTTGTGGAGCACATCACCCTCAGTGCCATCATGAAGCACAAGCAGGACAACCAGGCCCAGCCAGCCTGAGTTCGTGAAAGACAGGTCCTGCCTGGCCAGCCTGATCTCCTTCTGTGGCAAGGTGATCCACTCAGTTGATGAGGGAAATGCTGGGAATGTGTCCATGTGGACTTCATAAAGCCTTTGACAGCATTTCCCACAGCATTTTCCAGGAGAAACTGACTGCTCATGGCTTGGATGGGTGCATTGTTGCCTGGGTAAAAAAATGGATGAAGCTTGTGCCCAGAGGGTGTTGGTGAATGGAATGACATCCAGCTGGGGCTGGTCGGGAGTGGTGCTCCCCAGGGCTCAGCTCAGTAGGAGGCTGAGGGGAGACCTGATCACCCTCCCTCTGAAAGGAGATTGCAGACTGGTGGGGGTCAGTCTCAGTTCCCTCCAGGAACCAGTGACAGGGCAAGAGAAAGCAGCCTTGGGCTGCAATAGGAGAGGTTGAGATTGGATATTGGGAATAGATTCTTCACTGAAAAGCTTGTTGGGCACTGGAACTAGCTGCCTTGTGTAGTGTCACCATTTCTGGAGGTATACGGATGTGGTGCTTAGAGCCAGAATTTGGTAGTGGAGTCGTCAGTGCTGGGTTAATGACTGAATTTAATACTTTTACAGGTGTTTTTATAGCCTAATCTGTGCTATGGTTCCATTTTACCCTTACAGCAGGTAGATGAGCTGAGAGGGGTGTGCATGTGGCACAAGCCTAACACTCCCCGTCTATCCGGTGGGTGCCACAGGAGCTGTCATTGTATGTTTGCTGAGCTGCAAATGCAGCCAGATGCAGTTACAAGTCTGCTCTGTATCCTCCACGGGGCCACACAATTGTGCCAGCACTGCCACCATCGTGGTGGGCTGCCAGGTTGGGTTCTTCTTCCACTGCAGAAATCTACTGCCTCCAGTTCCACATCATTTCTACTGTGTCTCTCCCCTGAGTCCTTATTAGCCAAGTCTCCGCTGATCATCTCTAGACCTTTTAATTGCTTGGAGCTAAGAAACTTCTCCCTGATGAAACTCAAAGGCCACCACTTCTTCCAGCAGGAAAGTGGCAGCCTCCTGTTCTCACACTGATCATGGCATATGACAACTTCTTCACCTTTACACAACATTTATTGATCTCCATTTACACACATGTGTGCATTGGCACCCAAAACTGCAGCC